CTTGTCTGCGTATCACTACCATATCTATAAGAGAGACAAATAAGAAAGAATAAATCAAAATGGTCTAAATAGAGCAAAATAGTCGGAAAAGTTCAAAATGGTCAACGATTTTGGTTTGTTCTATAGTGCAATTAGAAAGTGTGTTAGCAACTAGTGTTAAAAATACTTATGTCTGAAGAAGTTGTAAAACCACAACGAAACGTAACAAATTTTAAATAAAATAATTAGGAAGAGAAACAAAATGAATACAGTATTCTGTACTATTGTCATCCTATAGTGACAAAGAAATAATTGATTTAATGGTAGAACATAAGAAAGATTTGATTAAAGAGATAATGAAATCGAAGTATTAAACATTAAAAACAAAAATGAAGTTAAACAAGACGTTCAAAATCTTTATGATCTTTTAACAAATTCGAACTGCAATGATGAAATTAGAACAAATCTAAATAAAATAATTGAGAATGAAGTTCTATTTTGCAGCCACTGCCATTTTATTCTGGAACAATGATAGAATGTATGTGCCTTATGTATAAGTCAATGTTAATTTCAAAAGTTCTGGAAGGAGCGACTTACGCTATTTTTGACTTTCTTCCGGTTGAACTGAAAAACAAGCGGTTGCAATTGCCGCACAATTCTCAGACACACGCACCAAGAAATATCATGACGGCGGCATCATGGTAATTTGCAACAGCTACATCAGCACTCTTATCACTATTAAAATCACCTGTTGTCACAGAATATGGACCACGCCCAGTATTATATATGACCGGAGCTCGAAACGTTCCGTGACCTTTTCCGAGCAATATGCTGACGGTATCATCACCGGAATTGGCAATAGCTAAATCGGTTCTATGATCCCCATTGAAATCATCTGTTGTCACAGAAATTGGAGATTTTCCTGTACCATAAGGAATTTGACGTTGAAAAGTGCCGTTACCGTTGGCAAGCAAAATGCCGACCGTGCTGTCACCGAAATTTGTAACAACTAAATCAGTTCTGTTGTCATCATTGAAATCACCTGTTGTGACGAAGAATGGAAAAAGCCCACTACCATATGTGATTTGAGTTTGAAAAGTTCCATTGCCATTGCCAAGCAATATACCAACGGTGTCATCACCGAAATTTGTAACAGCTAAATCCGTTCTGTGATCACCATTGAAATCAGCCGCTGTCACAGAATATGGAGCGCTTCCAGTGCCATATGCTTTTTGACTTTGAAATGTTCCGTTCCCGTTCCCAAGCAGTATACTGACGGTGTCATCACCGGAATTTGCAACAGCTAAATCAGTTCTGTTATCGTCGTTGAAGTCACTTATTGTCACAGATTTTGGAGATTTCTGAGTGGCATATTTAATCTGAGTTTTGAAAGTTCCATTGCCATTGCCAAGCAATATAGTGATTGTGTTATCACCGTAATTGGCTACAACTAAATCAGTTCTATGATCACCATTGAAATCACCTGTTGCCACACAATAGGGCGTATTTCCAGTGCTGTAATTAATCGCTTCTTCAAGTATTCCGTTACGGTTACTGAGAAATACACTAACGGTGTGCCCGTCGGCATTTGTAACAGCTAAATCAGTTTTGTTATCATGATTGAAATCACCGGTCGTTACATAAACTGGCGTACGCCCAGTGTTATATGTGATTTGACTCTGAAAAATTCCGTTTCCGTTGTTGAGCAGTATACTAACGGTGTCACCATCGGCATTTGTAACAGCTACATCAGTTCTGTTATCACCATTGAAATCAGCGGTTGTCACAGATGTTGGAGATTTACCAGTAGTATATTTCACTTCACTTTGAAATGTTCCATTGTCCTTACCGAGCATTATACTGACTGTGTTATCACCGCTATTAGCTACAGCTAAATCAGTTCTATGATCACTATTGAAATCACCAGTTGTCACAGAACGTGGATACTTGCCAGTGCCATAGGTGATTTGACTCTGAAGTGTTCCGTTTCCGTTACCGAGCATTATACTGACGGTGTTATTACCGTAATTTGCAACAACTAAGTCAGTTCTGTTATCACCATTGAAATCACCAGTTGTCACAGAATGTGGATGCTTGCGAGTAACATATGTGATTTGACGCTGAAATGTTCCATTGCCATTGCCAAGCAATATACTGACGGTGTTATCACCGTAATTGGCTACAGCTAAATCAGTTCTGTGATCACCATTGAAATCAGCCGCTGTCACAGAATATGGATGGTGGCCAGTCCCATATGTGATTTGACGCTGAAATGTTCCATTGCCATTGCCAAGCAATATACTGACGGTGTTATTATCGTAATTTGCAACAACTAAGTCAGTTCTGTTATCACCATTGAAATCACCAGTTGTCACAGAATGTGAATTCTGGCCAGTGCCATATGTGATTTGACTCTGAAGTGTTCCGTTTCCGTTACCGAGCATTATACTGACTGTGTTATCACCGCTATTAGCTACAGCTAAATCAGTTCTATGATCACTATTGAAATCACCAGTTGTCAC